CACGCGGCACGTGCAGCCGTCAGCAAGGTCGCCTGTGTGTCCAGAACATCAAACCGTCCTCAGGCCTCGACACCAACGACCAGCAAGCGGCAATGGCGGGCGCACGCACCAGCTCGGGGTACGTTTGATGGCGCTTGCGTTGGGCACGCCAGCAAGGGGTGCACGTCTGCTCCAGGCTAGGCATCACCCGCCCGCGTTACGCTGCTGACCATGGTGTCGTCAACAGCCTGCTACGCGCCATGCCACAAGAACAGCCCGTTCGCAACAATTTCGATGCAGCGGTCGTCGGAAACCGGCACATCCATCTTCATGTCAGCCAAGCGAACGTTGCGGGCGACCCGCGCTTCTTGGCACACCCTGGAAACCGCCCGCTCGAGCGGAAGGGCTCGAGATGCGAGCACACCGGATGTCGCACATGCAGCCCTGTGGTTACCGAGGCGGCGACTGGCAGCGGCCAGCGAAGCCGTCGTAGCAGCAGGACGCGGAAGAGTGGGGAGGGTGTGGCATCAACTTGGGACAGATGCAACTCAAGCGTGCGCTTGTCACCGACGAGGGCAGCACGATGCTGCCAGCCTCGCAGAAATCCGGAAACGCCGTGCTTGCAGCAGCGCATCCCACGCGGGAGCGTCGGAACTGCCTTCCCACGGCAGCTGGCCAGGGCTCGTGCTCGCGAGTCACGAGCGCGGTCGCGCCCGGCGCCCGGCCGTGCAGCGTGCCCCCTCGCACTGTTAGAAGGGCATGGTGGTTGCGGCAGCGAAGCGAGCACTGGCTTACTCGCTGTTCGAGTTGCCCTTAGCGGGAGCGGGCGAATGGTGACCTGCTGGCTGATGCTAGTGACACCGAGCCAGACATTAACCCACGTTACATCTAGAATCCCCACTTTACCACCAGAATCGTTACTGTACAACCACGGACACTGTTTCCGATGGGCGAATCCTTCACCTTACAACTGTCGATCCTCAGAACGCCCATTTTGCAAGTCTGCATGTTTGCACTCTGTTTTCATTGTCTGTCTACATGTTTGCATGTCTGTTTGCATGTTCACAAGTTTTTTAGCATGTGTACATGTCTGTTGCATGTATGCATGTCTGCGTGCATGTCTGCTTGTCGGTTTGCATGTTTGCATGTCTGTTTGGATGCTTGCATATCTGTTTGCATGTCTGCATGTCGGTTTGCATGTCTGCATGTCTGTTTGCACGTCTGCATGTTGGTTTGCATTATTCCATGCCTGTTTGCATGTCTGCATGTTTGTTGTCGTACACCGGACATCCTGGGCAATACTTCGTATATTTATCTCGGTTTGTAGCGGGCGTGTGTTGCTGTTGACTGGGAATCCTGAGCAATGCTTCATATTTCTAAGTTGGCTTGTAGCGAGTGTGTGCTGTCGTGCACAGGACATCCTAGGCAAGGCTTCGTATCTTTACCTTGGTGTAAACAGACATGCAAGCATCCAAACAAATATGCAAACATGCAAACAGACATGATGCTCGACCGCTTCCGAAGCAGCGGGGCCGAGCCGCGTGCCACTGCGCTAGCCGCAGTCGGGCCATAAAAGCCGTTAGACTAGGGTACCTCGACCCAGTTGGAACCTCGTCGTGCGGACGGAAAAGTCCAGAATAAAAAGACAAGACATGCAAATATGCAAACAGACATGCAAACATGCAAACATACATGCAAACATGCAAACCGACATGCAAACATGCAAACCGACATGCAGACATGCAAACAACCGTTCAAGCTAAGATAATGATATATGTGTGTGTACACACACACATAGATATATGTATATATATATACATATGTCTCGGATTCGGTTTAAGAACGCCCACATCCTTCATGGCTGCTGTAAAAAATGATGCTGGAGGTTCCAGGCTTTGACGTTGTAAGTTAATCCGCTTGTTAAGATGCTTTCGCAACCGGTTGCAAAGTAGGGATTCTGGAAAGGCTTGTCGGTTGTGAAGTAGGGATGGTTGTAAAGTGGCGATTCTGGTTGTAAAGCGGGGTATACGCCACCGAGCCAGTGCCCGCGAGCCGTCTCCCGCTACGAACACAGGGACGGCCCCTCCGCCAACCGCGGCCCAGGACGGTGCGTCGTAGCCGTTGTGGCAAGCACATGCCCGGGCTTGAGACGGCACCAGCGCAAGGCCGCGGGATCATCCTGTTTGTTGCAGCAAGCCAGGCGGTCAACTGCAGCCGCTTGCCAGGCGACGGTATCCCGGACGCCTTCAATGACCTCCGCACGGATTGGGCTCGAATGGCATGCCCTCGAACGGAGAGTGGCAAACAATGCCATGCAGTGCATGGGATGGCGCAGCACATGAAAGCGCTGGTTAACAGCCTCCTGTCGTACCTGGGCACACAGTTCGGTCCTCAGCGGCCGATGCCGCAACACGGGCGGCGAAAGACGTCGCCGCGGCCAGGGCAAGCTGCCCTCTGCTATTATGCTTCGGTGTCGTCTGCGATGCACCACACACCTTTCGGTTTTGCCTTGCGATGATCGGCTACATGGGCGCACGATGCCGTCGTCGCGCACACTCGCCTCCAGCTCCCTGAGCGCCCATTCGGTGTTTGTGGTGTTTTTTGTGTTTTAATTTTCCTTACCCTCGGTGCGGGGTTGTTATTTTTAGATTTTAAAAGTGGCACAAATCTTTGTTTCCTCACCCCGACAACAAACCCGATTCCAAAAAACGCTTCGCTTCGCCCCAACGGGTACATGTCGTGGTGCAGATGGGTGCTGCCCTCTCTTTCACCTTATCACGAAGAGCGAGTTTCATGGGGCAGTGTGCACACCGGTTCTTGCGCCATGGCCGCAGCGACTCTGCATGTGGGTGCGATGCATGCGCAGATGCTGTCGAAATTCATCGGACGGAAACGGCGACCCTTACAAAAAAAATCATGTAAGTAATGTAAGTACAAACTCTGACCAAACCGCAGGGTCGGTCACCCCGTCAGTGGCAAGACTGGCGCATTGCGACAAATCAAAAGACGTCAGCATCACGGAATAATAGATGGAAGCGCGCCCATGCGCCCGGACGCAGGGCGCTTCCGCCAATATCTTCGACGCCGAATCACATGCTCAGCAAAAGCGTGAAGCACATGTGCTCAGAGCAAACGTCTCTCGTCACAGTGCGTTCTCAGCGAAACGTACACCTGTGCGAATGGTCTGATGCATGCAGCGACCAGCTGGCAACACACGTCGTGAGGAGGAAATTATGGCAGCTTCTCAAACAGAAGCGCCGTTTCATCGTGGACGGTCGGCACCTGCCTTTTTTTGGGCTCTTGTGTCGCCCACAGGGCTGGCAACCGCGGAGCAAACTCGATATCGCACCCGACAGTTGCAATCCAACCAGCTCTTTCGCAGAGCCGACGCACGTGTGAGTTTTGTTGTCGTGAGCCACTTGCCATACCACAAGAATTGGAGATCGTGTTCCGGCCCCCGATCCGTATTCCAAACACGGGTCGTCGACATGGCATGTTTAGACACACCTAGACTCTATCCCTCTCAGTGCGCCGATCACGGCCACCAACATCGAGATAATCAACCCAGACGCAATCTGGTGCCAACCGTCAACTGCGTGTTTTGAAAACCGGAACTGGCTATGCTGTGATACACGAGGCAGGAAATGCCACAATCATCCCATCCGGACATCCAAATCGAAAACTGGACCAGGTTGCCAATTTCGATTGCGTCGATATTCTCGAAACGGTGGCCGCGTCGGTGAGAAACGCATGAGATACTGTCAGACACCCGGTTCGTCGGATCGCCACAGCTCCTCAAACTTGTGCTTACATGGGCTCACACGGCAACACTCGCGTGAGTCCCGATGCAGGCTCAAAAACAAAAGGTCTGAGCTGTTGTCGGTTTCGGACACAGGCAACATCACGAACTAAGCATCCTTGTCGCCCGCCCAAAAGAGTTCCGATAAGATTTACAAATCACGTCACACAAAGTAACGGCAATTCGATGCGGGATTGTTGCTCCACGATGCAACAAAACATAAGCAACAGCTACTCCAACAACCTGGCTATCACATAAGGTTCACGATGCGAGCACTGCCAAAGGGAAATGCAACACGGTTGCAACTTGCAACGGCATCCGTCTGTACGATGCGAAGCTTCGCTCTCGAAACAACACGCGTCTGTGGTGTATCAACGGTTCAGCGCCTCATCCGGAACAAGACTTGAAAAACGGAAAACCTGCAGTGCACAATATTGAAAGCAAGCCCATCAAGCTTCCCGAAACACACGTCGAGATCCACATAGCAACGGAGAGTGTGGAGATTAGCCATGCAGCCACGCAGGGTTTCGTAGTTGCATCCAGGTCAGGCTGTTGCTTCGTGTATCGGGGCATAGTTGCCGCAAAGCCCCCACGGCCGGTCGACGCAACTAGCCGCAAGAGCACCAATCAAGTGCACAAAAAACAGAAATCGTGATGGGTGCAACCTACTTCACAACCCGGGCGGAGCTGGATCCAGACATTCGTCCTCGTCGGACGAGCGTCCGTTACAACATGAATTCCACATACGAGAATTATTCCTCTCAACACAACACACGGACACCCACACACACAGAATCACACACGACGGCTTGGTCCTTGATGGAATTTAATACGACAGCTGGCACAGAGGATCAGTGAAACCTTCAACCCGGTAGTTTGACTCAACCTATCTCCAACACCAGAAGCTTCGCAGCAGAGGCACGTCATAGACCTGCTTGAAGTTGCTGGCCGTGACCAAGTTCATTGAGCCACAGCAGCTACGTAGCAGCAGTGTTTATGTTGGACACATCAGCTTGGTGCGTGCGTCGAGTCTGAACGACTTGACAAGAACAAGCAAACCAACAATTTTGCCATTACTCTCAAGAGACCCATCCAAGCAAGCTCAGTCCATTGTGCCGAATTCACTGTTCTTTCGTTTGAATTGGGAAGCATCTGGGTTCTGGTAAGTTCCCTATCGAAATCGGATTGGCCGGACCTCGCATGCACGACACGCTGCTCGAACCTCATGGAAGAGGTTGCAGAGTTACTCTTCGAAGCTGCTTCCTGGAATACACAGCAACTCAATCAGAACATGTCAATCAGTGATTGAAAGCGCGGACAAGCGTCATGAGGATCGTGGAGGCCCAACGCTGGCCTTCCAATCCCAAAACAAAGCATTTTCCTTCTCTTCCACTCACCATCCCACCTGCAGTTCCCCAACAGAATTGGTCGCTGCTGGTCGCCCGCCCTGAGAATGAAAAGAGAAATCGCTCCGTAAGAACACTGTGCCCGAAACCCGCGCGAAACCCTTAAACACGTCATTGTGCTTCACAGCTGGAAGCCGCAACGAAGGCAGCGAAGAAGCACGCTCCATGGCGGAATTGATTATGCTACAACTGCATGAGCACATAAGCCAAAATGCAACCGCAACTTCCTAAAGACACAAACATGCAAAATTCTCGCGTGCCACACTGACTGTCGACATGGCTGTCGGACGAGCCAGCCACAAACTTCAAGTCAAGTTTAAACTCTTCGTGCCTGTACTTCGCCTCTCGAGTGGATGGTTGACAAACTTCTCAGCAAATGATATCGAAGAAAATATACATAGAATATCTTAAATCGGAGTCCAATATAAACAGAGGGGAAAAACCCCATGTATAATTTATGTGAAATCAAACTCCAATCATAAGCTCTCCTACCGGACGCACCGCACGACTTCGTTTTCCTTTCGAGAATGGCGGCGATCTCAAGTGCTTCTCAGTGGTGAGAGACATCAAGACCCCGGGGTCGCTCTATAAAGGGATGGGAGGGCGGGTAATTGAAACTTTCCCCCCAAGTCTGACCTCGAGACGGCGCGGGTTCAACCGCATCAGAACATTCTGAAAAAATTGAAAACAAGCAAAATCTCAAGACTAAAATTCGAGATATTTCTGAGACTGACACAGGGAGTGAGAACCGCAACACATGTGTTCCCAACCCACCCACCCAAGATCGGCTATGTACAGCTCTATCGGGCAAGCCCGCTTTGGCCTGTACTTCGCCTCTCGAGTGGATGGTTGACAAACTTCTCATCAAATGATATCGAAGAAAATACCAATGGAGTATCTCAACTCGGAGTCCAATATAAACAAAGGGGAAAAAACCCTTGTAATCAAACTCCAATCATAAGCTCTCCTACCGGACGCACTGCAAGACTTCGTTTTCCTTTCGAGAGTGGCGGCGATCTCGATCGCCCAGTGCCTCTCCGTGGTGAGAGACATCAAGACCCCAACTGAAAGCGATCACCATGGAGTCTTCTCCTTTCGTCGCTTTTTCCGAAGCGCCACGGGCTCGGAGCGAGCCGTAGCACGAGCAGCAGCAAACTGACATTTCGTCCCAGAGTTCTGACAGCATCCTTAAAGGAAGGTCGCCAAAGCTGAGAGGGATCCGAAGATTTTCTGAAAAGGACTTCATTCGTCAGGTCATCTGCAAAAGTTCTTTCTTTTCTAGGCTTCCATCGAAGTGACAGGGTAAAGCCTGCCTGCATAATCAAATCTGACAGTTGCATGTTGATAAGCATGAGGGGCCATTTCGTCGTAGATAATTTCTTTCTCAAGGCCTCGTTTCCCCGATTGTCCGTCGCTGCGACGACGTTCACAAACAGCTTCCTCGGAGCGTCCGAAGGCTTCAAGTGACCAAAGCAGTGGAGGGCAGCTAGTGTGCCCAACAGTTCAGCTGATGCAGAAGCCCACCGCGACTTCTTCTTCGCATCACCAAGTAAGGGGCATCCTCTGGAAAGATCTTTAGGGAAAACCCAGTTAGCTTCTCTAGTCAACTTTCCAAGACTATCCCAACCGCCTATAACCACAAAGCCATCGGCGCACTTGGCATCCGTGTGGAATGCCGGCTCTCTTTGCCATCATGTTCGCCTGACACTGATATGGAAATTTTCCCGCTGAAGGATTTTCGAAATGAAAACAAAACAAGGTCAAGATGACAGTCAGAGGGAGTGTCGCTGCAGTCCCTCTCGACGTCGCGGCAGACCAAGCATACAAGGGTCCTCAGTGGGGTCTAAGCCAATGCAAAGTCCTCGCGATAAATCCAAGGCGCCCTAAAAATTCCGCAAAGTCACGCGTCAAGACAACAAACCTCTGCCTGGCATTCTCGATCCACTAGGTCACGTACCTGCCTCTGGCCGCTGAAATGCCGATGGATCTGGATTTGTAATCCAGCTCATAGCCAATGAACTGAACCCGCTCACCGCCCTTAAACTTTTGTAAAAAACGGGTGTACCGATCATCTCAAATAGTGCGAGCCACATCAAGGTGAAGAGGTAACGATGCAAGACAGGTCTGCAGGCCTCGGGACGGCCTGCTGGCTTTCAATCTTGATGGTGTTGTTCACTTGAACCCGTGGGTCCCGTCAAGCTTGGGGAAGCAGCTCGGAAATCTGTTGGGGAAGCAGCTCGAGAGTCGGGGACTCGAATGAGGACCCGAATGAGGACCTTAAGGACCGCAAGGAGACCCGAATGAGGACCCGAATGAGGACCCGAATGAGGACCGCAATGAGGACCCGAATGAGGACCCGCAATGAGGACCCGACTCTGTTGGGGAAGCAGCTCGGAAATCTGCAGCAGCAGCAGCAGCAGCAGCAGCAGCAGCAGCAGCAGCCTTAGGCAGCAGCAGCCGCAGCAGCCCCCTTAGCAGCAGCCGCAGCAGCCCCCTTAGCAGCAGCCTTAGCAGCAGCCGCAGCAGCCCCCTTAGCAGCAGCAGCCGCAGCAGCTGCCTTAGCAGCCTTAGCAGCAGCCGCAGCAGCAGCAGCAGCAGCAGACGCCTTAGCAGCAGCCGCAGCAGCAGCCGCAGCAGCAGCAGCAGCAGCCGCAGCAGCCCCCTTAGCAGCAGCAGCAGCCTTAGCAGCCTTAGCAGCAGCAGCAGAGTCTGTTGGGGAAGCAGCTCGAACGGCAACTCCGACCTGGTTTCTTTTTGGCCCATCGTCGCGTCGTCGTCGCCTCCTCGCATCGCGCCGTCGTGTCATCCGTCTGTGCCTCTATCCTCACCGCCTCTATCCTCACAGCTATCCTCACCCGTGTCCTCAACGCCGGACCACCAGTGCTGGTCGCCGCGCCGTCGTGTCGCCGTCCCCGCCCCTATCCTCACCGCTAGCCTCACCCCCCGGTCCTCACCATTCGTCGCCGCGTCGTCGTCGCGTTTATGCCGCTATTCTCACCCATCCTATTTGGGGGGGAGCATGAGGCGCTGCAGCGACTGTGAGGGCCTCGGGGGCTGCAGCGAGGTCCGCGTCGTCGTCGCGTCGTCGTCGTCGTCGCGTCGTCGTCGCCGCTGCATCGCCTCGTTCTGCCGGGGCAAGAACCTCTACGCAAGTTGGTGAAGACTGCTGGAGCGACACCTGGGACGACACCTGGGGCGACACCCGCGCACTCGC